GGAGTGGGGAGGGGTTTTCAGTTTGTACCAGGGGGCCATACGGATTGGCCGTGGCCCTGAGCTCCGGAGATGATTTGAGCTGTTCATGGCTGGGGACTATGCAGGCTGAGCCCTGTGCCTCTCTTGTTTCGCCATCGTCTAGTGAAGAATGATGGAGCTGACACCCTCATTTTGAGCCTTGCTAACTCTTGGTTAGTGGAGGCAGGTGGGAAGGGGTTAGTGCTGCAGCCAGACTAAGTCAGGCCTTCCTGAGAGTGTCACGGAAAAAGCAGTTTGATGGCATCCTGGTTCCTATGTCTCTCAGGATAGGCCTTTCGCTTTCAGTCACTGGAATCTTCTGGGAATGTGGCAAGTTTTCTTCAGAAAGTCTCACGCCTCGGCTACTTTGTTTCCTCATGCATTTAACTTTCCAAAGATGTTCCGGAGAAGGCAGCTGGGCACATTGTTACCGGGTACATTTTAGCCGAGTCTGTAGGTAAGGATTGTCTGGGGAGCAGCGCTGTCCAAGGTGGATCCACACCTCGTAGCAGGGTGAAGGGTTGCTGGTTTGTGGCATTGCAGCATTGTGCAGTTACACTATATGCTTTACATCCATCAAAGCTCAGGACCGTGCTTAGGTCATCAGAACAATTCTGTGATCTGTGCAGAGTGCAGTGTGAACTGTCTGATTGATTATGGCCCCAAAGACATGGGCCGTGGGCACAGGGAGGCTTCCTGGGGCCTGCTTTTGGGCCCTCTCACATGCTCCCCACCCCCTGCCACGGGGAGGCTCTGGCTTAGGCTGCTTTTGCATCCCCAAGCCCTGCTGTGAGGCTGGGTACGCCACTGATACTGAACACATACATCTTGAGCAACTGAAAATAATCACACACAACCATTCCTCCTGGGTGCTGGATGGAAGGGGTGGAGGGACACACACAGCTGAGACCCCCTACTGAGACAGGCAGCCCCTGATCATCAATTCAGGGCACTGATGACCCTGTGAGTCCTTATGTGACAGGCCTCAGCAAAAGGGGGCGGACTGGGGGACCACAGGGCTCCACTCGGCCCTCTGCGCGGGCTTCTGTCTTGGGTAGGTGGCAACACAGCCGTCACTCCTTCCCACCCCCAACCCTGGTCCAGTCCGGTCCGCAGTCCTGGGGAAAGGGCCTGCTTCGTTCCCCAAAGTTCCAGGGAACGTCTTCGTAGAGAATCCCACTGGTCTGTCCCGGGTGTAGGCCCCATCGCAGTGTTTGGGAGGTGACACTAGCCGACCAGCCAGGCCTGGCTCGCATCCACACCCCACCTGCTCCCCGGGGCCCAGTGCCCATCCTGGGATCCCACCCGCTGGGCTGCCTGGAGGCAGGTGGTTCCCAGAGAGCAGTCAGGGTGTGAGTGCGAGGAGGAGGCGGCGGCATTGTGCTGGCACGAGTGAAATGCCACGTGTCTACCACATGTCAGGTGTCGCAGCCACCTGGGCAGCATTTGCCACCGCCTCGGCCTTCCTCTCCTGAGTCTTGAAAGTGGCTGGGCTGGCAGTCATGGTGGAGGTGATGTGAATGAGTTTCGTGTGCTGTGCCTCAGGGCTTCATCATGGACATAGGAAGAGATGGACAGGTCCATGCCATCAAATCAAGTGACTTCTGTGCTGGGATCTGTCCTGGGTGTTGAGGTCACATCAGTGAACACCACACATGGTCCCTGCCTTTCTGGGCCTCCTGTGCAGTTGGGGAGACAGTACACAAATAACATGCCCAGAACCTGTGTGGGCCTCAGCATCCTTGCCTGTAAAGTGAGGCTTCAGTGCCTCACTTGGGATCAGGCTGAGTCGGTGAGTGAGTGGCTGCCATCAGTGGAAGATTGGCTCAGGGGCAGGCCCTGCCCAGAAGGAGATGGGACAAACCGGGGAAACAACTGGCAGGTGCTTCTGTCCTTGGCACAGAGGTGTCCCAGGCTGGCGGCTGTCTAAGGGGGTGGGAACCTGCCTGGGTATGTACATGAGTTGCCAGTGTCTGCGTCAGCAGGCAGGCATTCTTGGCACTGACTCTGGCAGGATATCTGTCAGCTCTGGGACCCTGGGCTGCCGCTCAGTGTTGGCTTGGAGAGGTCGCTGCTCTGTCTCCTTCTCTGGACCTTTGTGGCTGCTCTGTTTCAATTTGCCCTGCTTTTTGGCCTTCTCGGTCTTTTGAGTCTTACTTTGTCCTGCCCATAACCCCCTCCAAAGGGAGTCTCTGCCTGGGTGCCCTCGCAGGCAGCCCAGTTAACACAGTGGCCCAGAGTGGAGTTAGTTCTAGGTGTGTTGGTTCCAGGGCCGTAGTTACTAAGGTGAGAAGCTGGGATTCCAGCTGGGGCTGTCTGTAAGAAGAATCCCAGAGGGGCTTGCCCCACACTTGGAGTGTCCAAGCCCAGGCATTCACGGTGCCATTCAGCCCAAGCTCAGAACCAGCCTCCCTCCCGGCAGGGCCAGGGGCAGGTGTGATGAGGTGCCTAGGGACCTAGAGCAGGGAGGCCCTGGGAAGCACAGGTGTGTTGATAATGGAACTGAGGCCGAACCTCAGCATCAGGGTCCTTGAACGTGACCTCAGTGGAGAGGGCTTGGGCTTAGGAGTCCCAGGGCTTGAACTAGAGTTCTTCCTGGTCCTTGGCTCTCAATGTTTCCCCCAGCACAGTCTGCAGACCAGAGGCAACAAATGCCTCTTAAAATGTCTTGACACTGTGGGGTGGGGCAGGAGGGGACAGAGCCACATTTGGGAAATTGTTTGATCACCAAAGGGGTGATCTGGAGTTTGGAAACTGGAGTGAGGGTTTAGCAATCACAGCAGGATTTAGGGAAATGTCGAAGAGTCTGGAATTCAGATTGGGCAATTCCGATCAGTCACGAACTAAGCTGTTGGCAAAGCTTCCCTTAGACCAGGTCAGCGCAGCCTCTCAGGCTCTGTGCCACTGCATCTGAGGGCCCAGCTTTGAGGATGTGTTCAGGAAATAGTTGCCAACAAGTGAGTTGTGGAGGCCTGCATAGGATAGAGATCCCACTTTACAAGAAAATAATAGTGAGGTGCAGGATGGAGGTGGAGTCAGGATACAGCCTGGACCTGCATCCAGTGCTCTCGCCTCAACCCCCAGAAGGGCTAACCTCATAGCATCGGAGCCCTGTGGCCTGTGGGCTGCAGGTTTGGACAGCAGTGCCTTAGGCAGGTCCTCAGTCTGCAGTCTGCCTGGAGCTTGGGGGCCCAAGCAGCAAGGCCAGTACAGCTGCTGTGCCCTCTCTGCCTAAGCCCAAAAGCAGGGACCTTGCCTAGCTCTAATCTTGTCAGTTTGTGGCTTCTCTGCCTCTTTGCCAGAGGAAGAGTGAGCAAGAGAGAGCCATGTAGTCGGACACTCATTTGCAATTTCACTGAAGCATGAAATCATTTCCTACCTTTACCAGGTAAGTAGAAAATTGACTTGGAGTGGGAGGTGGCAGGGGAGTTATATACTTTTGAAAATGAAAAATGAAAAACTTTGTTGTTTAGGGTTTTTTGTTTTTCTTGGCCCCATTACCAGCAGGAAGACGGCAGCACAGGCTTTTGTAGGGGGTCAAAATGCTGGAATGCAGTTTGCGTTTTGGCCATCTTTTCTTTTCTTTTTCTTTTCTTTTTCTTTTTTTCCAGGCTTAATTCACTTTATTTTTCTTGTGTAAAAACCCTGTTGTCGCCACAGCTGGAGCCTGGGTCCGCTGCACGGAGACTCTGGTGAGGGTCTTGACAAGGTGGTCAGAGAATTCCTGATCGGGAGACTTGTTGAATACAGTCTCCTTCCACAGGTCAGGGGGCAGGTAGCTGTGGTCTTAGAGATGGCATCAAAGGTGTTGGCCATAATTTCTCTAGGCATGAGTTTTGGCTGAGCCTTGAGTTCTCAGTACTGAACTGGGGCCTTGGGTCATGCTGTTCACTGGACGTTAATGACAGTGCTTTGGAATTCCCCTAGATTGAGCAGGCAGTGAACCTGTTTGTTGGCACAGACCATCGCTCCATCACTCTGAGCACCCGGTCCCCAGGCCTGGTGGAGAAGGGCAGACAAGGGAGGCAGGGGAGGCGTCGCATTGACTCAGGGTCCTGGAGTCAATCGGGGACCCTGGAAGCTCTGGCTGCATGTTTCTCTGCTTTGGCTGAGGCAAATCTGGATCACTTCAGTTAGTGTTCAGCATGTCCTGCTGTCATCTTGGGCCTCTGCCTTGGTCTTGAGGGTGAGTCACTCGTGGCCCCACCTTCAGGCCATCACCTCCCCCAGCTAAGTGAAGAGCCCTGTGGGGACACCTGGATTCAGAGAACATGTCTCCACTGAGCACTTGGGCCTTGATGGCAGCTCTTGTTCCAAGGCTAGGGGGATGTCTAGCCAGTACCACTTGGAGCCCAGCCCAGGGCAGAGCCTGCTGGGAGCAGGGAAGCGGGTACATGAGGCTCTACTTGGGTGTCCACAGCAAACCCTGCAGGGATCAGTCACCTTGAACAGAGGTCAGGCTCCAGAGCCGGACAGCCCATGTGAGAATCCTGGCTGTGGCGGTTTGGGTAGTTTCTTTGCCTCTCTGAGCTGTGGCTTCCCTAGCTTTAAAATGGGACTCACAGGAGAAGCTTCTGCAGAGGGCTGTCATGAGAGTGGAATGTGGTCAAAGGCACCAGTTACTTAGCACTGCCCGGACACCTGCCTGAGTCAGGAACACCGTTTGCATGTTCTCTTAACCATGGGAAGCAGCCTCAACTCTAGCTCACCTAGGGGGTGGCTCATCTGCAGGCCAAAGATGTTTGTCCCAGAGCTGGCCCATACCCTGAGAACAAAACCAGTTTCTGCAGGGCAGGGTCAGACCCAGCCACTCTTGCCTATGTTGTCCTTGGCAACATGGTTGCGGGAGAGGGACTTGGTTTAGCAGAGGTGAGCAGGGAGTGGGTGGGAGGGGGCAAGGGGGCTCATGCTGAAGAGAGAGTCCTGAGAGGGCAGATGGACAGGAGGGGCTCCTCTGACCTGTGGGCTTGTTCCCCTACAGGCTGGTGCACCATGTCGGTCAGCGTCCATGAGACCCGCAAGTCGCGGAGCAGCACGGGGTCCATGAACGTCACCCTCTTCCACAAGGCCTCCCACCCGGACTGCGTGCTGGCCCACCTCAACACGCTTCGCAAGCACTGCATGTTCACTGACGTCACGCTCTGGGCGGGCGATCGTGCCTTCCCCTGTCACCGTGCCGTGCTGGCCGCCTCTAGCCGCTACTTTGAGGCCATGTTCAGCCACGGCCTGCGGGAGAGCCGGGACGACACTGTCAACTTCCAGGACAACCTGCACCCGGAGGTGCTGGAGCTGCTGCTGGACTTTGCCTACTCCTCACGCATCGCCATTAACGAGGAGAACGCTGAGTCGCTGCTGGAGGCGGGCGACATGCTGCAGTTCCACGACGTGCGGGACGCCGCCGCCGAGTTCCTGGAGAAGAACCTTTTCCCCTCCAACTGCCTGGGCATGATGCTGCTCTCGGACGCCCACCAGTGCCGCCGGCTGTACGAGTTCTCCTGGCGCATGTGCCTAGTGCACTTTGAGACGGTGCGGCAGAGCGAGGACTTCAACAGCCTGTCCAAGGACACGCTGCTGGACCTCATCTCGAGTGATGAGCTGGAGACCGAGGACGAGCGGGTGGTCTTCGAGGCCATCCTCCAGTGGGTGAAGCACGACCTGGAGCCGCGGAAGGCCCACCTGCCCGAGCTCCTCCGCAGCGTGCGTCTGGCCTTGCTGCCCTCTGACTGCCTGCAGGAGGCCGTCTCCAGCGAGGCACTTCTCATGGCGGACGAGCGCACCAAGCTCATCATAGACGAGGCCCTGCGCTGCAAGACCAGGATCCTGCAGAATGACGGCGTGGTCACCAGCCCCTGTGCCCGGCCACGCAAAGCAGGCCACACGCTGCTCATCCTGGGGGGCCAGACCTTCATGTGTGACAAGATCTACCAGGTGGACCACAAGGCCAAGGAGATCATCCCCAAGGCCGACCTGCCCAGCCCCCGGAAGGAGTTCAGCGCCTCAGCGATCGGCTGCAAGGTCTATGTGACAGGGGGCAGGGGCTCCGAGAACGGAGTCTCCAAGGACGTCTGGGTGTATGACACCGTACATGAGGAATGGTCCAAGGCGGCGCCCATGCTGATTGCCCGCTTTGGCCATGGCTCAGCGGAGCTGGAGAACTGCCTCTATGTGGTGGGGGGACACACTTCTCTGGCAGGCGTCTTCCCAGCCTCCCCTTCTGTCTCCCTGAAACAAGTGGAGAAATACGACCCTGGGGCCAACAAGTGGATGATGGTGGCCCCCTTGAGGGATGGCGTCAGCAATGCCGCAGTAGTGAGTGCCAAGCTGAAGCTCTTTGTGTTTGGAGGAACCAGCATCCACCGGGACATGGTGTCCAAGGTCCAGTGCTATGACCCCACGGAGAACAGGTGGACGATCAAGGCTGAGTGCCCCCAGCCGTGGCGGTACACAGCCGCTGCCGTCCTGGGCAGCCAGATCTTCATCATGGGAGGTGACACGGAATTCACGGCCGCCTCGGCCTACCGCTTTGACTGTGAGACCAACCAGTGGACACGGATTGGGGACATGACCGCCAAGCGCATGTCCTGCCATGCCCTGGCGTCCGGCAACAAGCTCTATGTGGTCGGGGGCTACTTTGGGACCCAGAGGTGTAAGACTCTGGACTGCTATGACCCCACTTCAGATACGTGGAACTGCATCACCACGGTGCCCTACTCACTTATCCCCACGGCCTTTGTCAGCACCTGGAAGCACCTGCCCGCGTGAGGAGCACCTGCCGAGCCCAGCCAGGTGAGCCCCTGGCAGCCCACGGCTACTCTGGATCTGGAAAGGTCATGGGG